CCGACGACTTACAGTATAGTAGATTAAAACATAACATCAATAAAGATCAGTAAAACTTTATTTTCATCAACTAATACATTAGTTTAGACAAATGCTTCATACACACGCGTATAATCATTTAAAATAAAACAGATATATCAGTACCGTGAACAACGTATTGCAGCAGTTCAATAAGAGTTATAATATTTACAGTAGACTAGCAATTCATATTTTAATAAGACTGATACAAATTTGTTCAGAGTAAAATCTGCTCTAAATTAACATTGAAATTTACAAATTTATCACTCATTCTAGGCTCAATCTCTGAAAGGAGCAATAACAACTGCAGCTAAGCTAGGAATATCCGATCATCGATTGTACATATTAAAGGAAACTGAAGTGAATAGGTTAACCAGCTATTATTGCGTGATTAAGGATTAAGATCCAATTGCTGCTTCAACATAATTGTTGGTATATCATTGGTTCATCCAATCAGTTTACCAATACTATTTCATTTTATAGAGGGCTAGGGAAGGTAGTTGGTATATTAAAAGTTGGAAAGAAGAAGTTATTTGTTGTGGTAAGCTCCATGATAGGCTTATGCGAGAAATAGGTCACACTGATAGTCCGTTAGCTGGAGAAATTACACGATCTAGTATTTTTAATTACGAAATATTCGGTTTCGCAATCAATTTATACTGCTATCCCTGTAACATTATGATCTTATATAGAAGATGCCTAGTATAGTAATATCCTAATATACGAATACTTATCATATACCGTTTAAGTACTGTATTGTATTACATTCATAATGTACGACATCATGACTACATATAGACGACATGCTATACATATAAAGACATTATCTCAATCCCATCTAAAACCTATAAATACCCTTGTACGCTAACTCGTTAGTCAGTTCCTACATTCCTGCTATCTCAAATACCTTATCTATAACAACCATATCATTGTTAGCCTGTAACTTGTATCTCAATAAAATCCTTTATACCTTCTATCATCGTCTACCTTAAAATACTTTACGCTACTTAAAGAAGATATCATTACATCCCTAATGTAGGACTATACTGGAACACAACACGAATGCCTCCCTTTATGTGTGCTCGATTTTTATGTTCATGAGTCACAACAACGGACTGGGAATGGAAAACTCCTTTTTGAATACATGCTTAAGGTAATTTATTTGCTAGGGTATCACTGCAAATAGCACACTACTACGAGGACCTTCTTATTTATTATATTTATTATGATATGCTTTCCCATGCCTTTTTTAGGCTGAAAATGTAACCCCATCACACCTTGCAATTGATAGACCATCGTTAAATTCCTATCATTTTACAAAAGCA